ATATATATATATATATATATATATATATATATATATATATATATATATATATATATATATATAACAGCTCAAACAAAACAAGTTGCTAAGTTGGAATAAAGCAATACAGGAGGGTGTTTTGTAGTGATAAAACAAAAACAAACAAAAAACAACATAATGTAGTTTTAAAAAGGAGTGATATTCCAATCCACCCAGTTTTTAGAGCACTTCCCCCAATATTTGCTCCATTCAAAACTTTGAGACATGATAATATCCACCAATCTTGCCGGAGAGATCACCTTATGTTTGAAGATTTTGTCATTTCTTGCGAGCCAAATATTCCATAATGTGACATAGATTATCATTGTTAAGATTTGTCTTTTCTTAGGACAATTCTCCCATGTAGCTGCATAATCCAAAAGTTCGCGCACTATGTTAACACTCAAACTCTGTGCTCCACAAAATTTAAATATCCAACATAACACCGATTTTGAGAATCCGTATTCGATTAGTAAATGTTTTACATATTCGTCATAGTTGCCACATAACACAGATTGTAGATTGGACCGTTATGCCCCTACTCAAAAGTGTCGTAGAAACTAGGAGTCATTCCAATACTGCTCGCCAAATGAAACACTTAACCTTGAGGGGAATTAGTTTTGACCAACAAATCCGGTGACCACTATTTGATTGGTTTAGCTTAGCGTCCATGAGTTTTCTTATTGTGTTCACCATATATATACTTTCTTTATTTGGATTAAACTAGAATCCATATTTTCCAAGAGGGCTAAATTTGAAAGATCCAAATAGTAGGTAGAACTGATGAAGTTCCGCAACTGTTTCCTGTAGGCATGAGCAAACGGACCGAACCGACCAGAACCGGCCCGACCCGGACCCGAACCGGGAACCGGCTTCGGCCAAAATCAAGAACCGAACCGGCCCGGCGGTTCTACCGGTTCCGGTTATACCGGTTCTGGTTCCGGGTCCGGTTTTTGCCGGTTTTCGGTTTTGGAATCGGTATGATTTGACACGCTTCTTTGCGGGGCTTGTAACTCATTCAATTTTTAACAAAATCAAGTGTTTTTATAGTATAAACTTAACTACAAAACCTAAACTACGTGTAGGAAAAAGATTCAGGTCAAAAAAACTTAAATTGAGTGAGTTATGCACCTTTGAACAACAAAGTCAGATTGCGTTTAATTGTTGTAACATAAAAAAATTCTGATTTGACACTCTTCCTTGCGGGGCTTGTAACTCATTTAATTTCTAACCAAATCAAACGTTTTTATAGTCTAAACTTAACTACAAATCCTAATCTACTTGTAGGAAAAATATTCAGATCAAAGCAAGTTAAATTGAGTGAGTCATGCACATTTGAACAACAAAGTCAGATTACATTTAATTGCTGACATAAAAAAAATTCTGATTTGACTCCCTTCTTTGCGGGGCTTGTAACTCATTCAATTTTTAACCAAATCAAGCGTTTTTATAGTCTAAACTTAACTACAAATCCTAATCTACATGTAGGAAAAAGATCCAGGTCAAAAAAAGTTAAAATGAGTGAGTTATGTACATTTGAACAACAAAGTCACATTACATTTAATTGCTGAAACATAAAAAAAATTCTGATTTGACATCCTTCTTTGCGAGGCTTGTAACTCATTCAATTTTTAACCAAATCAAGCGTTTTTATAGTCTAAATTTAACTACAAATCAAAATCTACATGTAGGAAAAAGATTCAGGTCAAAAAAAGTTAAATTGAGTGAGTTATGCAACTTTCAAAATTTGAGTGAGTTATCCGGTCCGGTTCCCGGTTTTGGGCCAGTTCCAACGATCGGTTCTTACCGGGTCCCGGTTCCAAAATTTGACAAAATTATAGTTCCGGTCCCGGCCCGGCCGGTTCCATCGGGTTCCGGTTCCAGTACCAGTTCCGGTTCCGGGACCGGTTCCGGCCGGTTCCCCGGTCCATATGCTCATTCCTAGTTTCCTGATTCAAATTGCTTTTCCATTGACACCTGAAACCATTGTCACTAATTCTTTCCATAAGCGAGGATCTTTTAACTGTTTCTTTAATAGCTTTTTATTTTGCCTTATCATATTTTCACTAAAACTTATTGAATAAAAACCTAATATCATAAACTTTCTTCAATTATTAACTTTAAAAAAAATCATATTAACTAAATATCCTAATTTCTATCGGATGTTAATATAAAACACCTCATTATTTTAAAGTATATGCTATAATTTGTTAAAAGAATATAACTTGATAGTAACATTTAATATGATAAATATATAGCAATACAAGAAATTAAAATAAATATTCTAAATACAGAGTACATAATATTGTTATAGAAAAAAAAAGTAAAGATATTACCCACTTTTATTAATTTATGTAACTAGCTAGATTTCTTACCAATTTATTTAAGTATTTTATGAACTTATACATTAAAATATATCTCTTACTTATTTATATATTTGTTACTTATTTATGTGAACATAAACTAATGATTTTATTTGTAAATAGTTAAAAAGAAATCATATAAATTTAAAAAACCTTACATTACATATATACACATAAATTTAAGTAAATGTGTTGTATAAACAAATGGATAATGACTTAAAAGGGTAATATATTTTTCGATTTGTATACATTTGGATACTGAGTTTTTTTTTCGTCCACATTTACCCCTTCAACTTGTTAAACTGTATACATTCAGTCCTTATGACCGGCTACTCCAGGTTACCCGGTAAAAATGACTTAATAGGGTAATATATTTCTCACTTTGTACACATTTAGTCCTTAATATTTTTGTACACATTTAGTCTTT